CAATTTATTTATATAAGGTGTGGTTTGATATGGTTATTTATTACCAGAGAGATATACTAATTTATATTTTTATAAATATTGTTTTATAAATGTACTGATATGCGTCTTTTATTTTATAAACATATCCTATTTAAAACATGGTCTGTCTCTTCAGGTATATTATAGAAACTCTTGTCAAGATAATAGATGATTGGTATCATTTTGCTTTTCGTAATCATTAATAATAATATTAATATTAAACAATAAGAAGAAAATGTCAAGGCAACGTGACTGTTGCAGAAGAAATGATTTGATATGAAACATTTGATTATGTAATGTTTGAATTTTCAATGTTGAAGCACACACACCACCTTGAATACATTACTTCATTCTCACACATTCCTTGCATATACAAGGCTAATCTTACTTGCGACACCTGATGATATGATGATGCAACTAAATTTTCAGAAGGGTCACTATGCCTGTAATTGATTGAAAATTGCATCATTGCCAAGGACTCTTCTGTGAATCCTACTTAAAGCACTTGAGCTGGCATTACCCAGATATGCATGCTAGCCGAAAAGTTTCCTGCAACAATCCTACTTCTAGTATAAAGATGACTGGCCCTGTGACTAAAAAGTTGCAACTCTGGAGGTTGCAGCAACCAGGTTGAAGAGTTGTAATATTAGGAGTGCACATAAACATATAGATCCATCGAAGCAATTAGAATCTGCAACTCATTTCAACCTCAAGAGGAATTTGCAATTCAGAGTGGAGTTGGGGACTCTGAAATTGCATTTGTTCTCTGATATTTATAATTTTAAACCAAAAGAGGATAAAGAGGATAGTAGATACCATTTTGAACTGATTGAAACCTCTGATTACAATCATTGTAAAACAATAATGCAGTTGTTTTGTAAAGGCAGAGTATGTTCTTATATGGAGGGAAAATCATTATCAAATCAGTTTAATTACAGCAAAATGTGTTCTTAACAAGAGGTGTTGCAGTAATTGTTGAAGGATCAAATTTTATTATCAAAACTTTTCAAATTCATCCTACTGTTCTTCTGAATGTCCAAAATGTCCAAAACTCCAATGATTTATTTTAAACGAGTCATTCCAAAAATCAACAGTCTCATGAATTTCACCAGCAGTTGAACATTTATCTGGATTAGCATCCATGCATCTGAATGATAGTTCAATATAGAATTTTGGTGTGTTTGAAAATCCAGGTCTTACTCCTTCACATATTTTTATTGCAAGGCTTACATCATGTGCCAAATTACTGAATGGTTCAAAGCTATATATATCTGATGCTGCTGTAATGGTTTCTTCCTTTAAACTTCTGGTGCAACATATGGCAGTGCTCCAAATGTATCATTTTTGTTTGATGCAGATGTTTGACCAGCTGGAAATGATAGTCCCAAGTCTGTAATATATGAAATAGTAGTACTGTGAGATAGTAAGTTGTGTGCCAACCAATTGTCCCGTTAATCAGAGCGAACTTAGTACGGCAGTCATATGATGTGCTAAATATTGAAAACGATCATTGAATTTATTCCGATTTTTATCCATATGTAATATTAATCAAGCTTATCATTTCTGTTTAAAATAATTAGCATTAGTAATCTTAATTAGCCACAATTTATTAATGAACATATTTGATTGGAAAGTAGGATAGCACAAATCACATTATCTGTAATACTCCAAGAAGTATTTAAACTTTTAGAAATTGCTCGAGTTAAAATAATAATCTTCGAATTAATAAATTTCCTTTAATTAATATTAAATAAACATATTTTACCTTGTTACGAATTTTTGCATAGTTAGAGAGGAAAAGCCGTCGCAAATTGTTCTATGATCCTTTCTAATGATTAGTGGTCTGGCCAACCTTTAATCATTAGTTAGGAACCCTTTGATTTACTATGTTGCTTGTAGGGACGCCTCAAGTGGTATAATTGCAAATATTTCTTGTATATAATTTTCTTTATTTCTTGATTTTAGCCGTGTATCGGCATTTTTGAAGTCCGTGTATCGGGCATATTATTATTTTTGGATTTCCGCGTGTCGGAATTTATTTGGCCGTGTGTCGGCATTGGGTACATAAGTCCGTGTGTTGGCGGCATAATTTGTAACTATTGGGCACATAAGTCCGTGTGTCGGAAGTACAATCTATATGATTATTATCGGACACGTCAAGAGTTTGTAACTGGGGAAATTACACGCTCGCGGTGAAAAATAACACCACTATGAAGATCATGATGAATAATTTCTTTTTCGTGAATATCTTTTAAACCTTTAATAATTTGTTGAAAAAAACGAATTTTGTTATACAGTGGTGTGCAAAAAAAATGACAATCTTTTTGGAAAAAGATCAACAAGTGTAACTTCCTCAATTTTGGTCAT